TCAAATGTCAAACATTTCATTTTTCGATATGATTAAGGAAGTTCAATGTGGTAATAATGCAGAAGATTTAATACCATTTCTGAAAAGTCTCCAATCATTTACATCATTAATACATGAAAATTTATCATTGACCGACAAAAAAGAATTTGTTTGCAAAAAATATTTGAATTATCTTATCAACGAATATGCACATGTATCAATTTTTGGATATTCTAATACTAACATGAGTTTACCTTTGGAAAGTGTCTATGGAGAATTAAAATTCGATCCTACACATCCATCGATTAGAGAGTCTATGGGCTTTTTTATTTCAAACTGAATTCTAAAATCAAACAAACCACACCAATTTCTTCCGAATCAAACTTTTCTCGCTTGATACTACGTAGTCTCACTAAAAACCCTTAGTCCCCCCTAGTCCTGCAAAGTCCCCCTTAGTCCCCCCCACAAAAAGCTTAGTCCCCCCTTAGTCCCTTTTCAGGGGACTAAAGCCTATAGTACACAAAACCACAAGCACAGCCTCACCCTCACTCACGCGCCAACACCCACACCATGGGTGTGGGTGTGTGTGTGGGTCCCAGACCCACACCCACACCCTCAGTCACCCCCCCCCCTCACTCCTAGACTCACGTTTCAGTTTGAAATCAAGTATTATTTTTATTTGATAAATTCAGACTGAAATTAAATAGCCCATTGTATGCGATTAGAGCAGTGAAAATGTTGGAAATTACTGAAGAGTTTAAACGTAAGATTTTCTCTCCTGGCTTTTTCAATGAACATGAAAGACAACAACGGAATAGAGCTATCCTAGAAAAAAATGCCTTCAACTCTGAAATGTACTGTAGACACTTCATGATTGATCAATGGCTAAACGCCTTGTTAAGCAACAAAAATATATTTACTGATAATGAGGTGGCTGCTATCAAAGCTAAAGTGAATCGGTTAAAGCAAAGTATTTTGGAACAAAATAACTTTAAAGAAGCAAGACAATATCGAATTCAACAAGCATACAATGAGTTTAAACATTTCATAGTCTTAGGTCATCCTGGTTCAGGTAAAACTACACTGTCAAAATGGTTGGTTATCAATATGGCTAAGCAGTGTTTACGTGAGAAAAATATGTTATTTGATCATATTTATTCAAGAAAAGAGAAAATACCAATTCTTATTCCAATATGGAAATATGTTGATCAAGTAAAAGAAAATCTTACGGAAAAAAATCTACTTTGCTTCAGTTTATTTATGAAAATTCTACTTTTAATTCAACTTTTTCAATAATGAAGAACGAATAGAATTATCATTTTTGATGAAACAATCATTAGTAGAAGGAAATATTTTAGTTATATTTGAAGGTTTAGACGAAGTTCCTGTCCATGTCGATCGATCTGATTTAATAAAGGAAATAAATACATTATTAGAACGAGGAATAGATTATGATGTTATGCATGATAAACTTACTTATTCCGTTCATGAACAAAAAGATATACATAATACAAGAGATCCTACTATCGGAAATCGATTTATCATAACAAGTCGTATTGAAGGAAATTATTTTGAAGATATCAAATTTTTTATTCCAAGATTAACTATTAAAGACATGTCTAATGATGCTCTCAGATTATTTTGTAGTTCATATATGAAATGTATAAACGAGATTTCCGTTAAAACTAGAAGAGTTGGGAAAGAAAGTAATATCGATCAATTATATGATGAGATAACGCAAAACAAAGATATTTTTCATTTAGCAATTAATCCACAATTAGCTAGTGGAATTACTGCAGTTTATAATCAATGTGAAGGTTAATTACCAGAGAAAAGAATTCATTTATATGAAAAAGCTATCGAAAAAATGATAGAACGATTAGTAACGCTTTATATCGATTCTCCAACAAATTATCTAGACAAAGATTTTCAACTAAATACCACTATGCTTTGGTCAATATTAAAACAAATAGCTGAATATCTTCATAGTAAAGTTGAAGGACTATCAGAGAAAATGTTTATTAGATCATCAAAAGCAATCATTGAAAAGCCTAGAAGAAAGTATTGATGAATTAATTACTAAGCTTGTAGGTATTTTTAAATATCAAGCTGGTTTACTCAATGAATTTGGTCATAATAGTTTTCGATTTATACATCGTACGTTTCAAGAATATCTTGCA